CAGTATAGGTGTTCAGTATATACACACACACACACATATACATACATACACATATATATATACATATACATGCATATATATACCAGGCACAATTTAAGGAGCTTGATAGGCATATATAGTTTCATACTATCTACCTCTCCACCTTTCAGCATACACACACATATAGCTAAATAGAATAAGTGTCTTCACTCTCATTTTATAGATGAAGAAACTAATATTGAGAGAGGTTAAGTAACTTTCTCCAAGAGCACACTGCTGGTGATTAGATGGTTCCTCTGACCCCAGAACTTCTTCTCATAACCAGGGTTCTAGGCTAGAGCGAGGCTGGAACGGCACGGAGCCAAAGGTTCCACCATCGGGCGGGTCATAAACGGGCCGCTCCACACCGGAGGACTTCAGAGAGGCTGAGGGGTGTTGCATGTTGAAGGTAATTTACAGTATGCAAATACGTGTGTGTGTTTGCTAATGCACATATATAGGTATCTATTTATAAATACATGTAGACTAAATCTTTCTGAAATCATTTCCTTTATTTTGAGCACTTTACATGTAATATTGACTTTTCAGTTTTGTTAGGTTTGGGGGTTGGGATACCTGGGTTCTTGCTTCACAGAGCTAAAAGAGCTCTTGCGGCAGAAGCATGTTTGTCATCCGAGTGACTTTGATGAGGAAATGGGAAATTTCAGGTATTTCAGTCTCAAAAAGCGCACGCTTGTTTCAGAAAAGCATACAAAGCTGAGTGGGAACCGGGCAGGAGGAGTTCACGGTTGAACATGAGCACTCACGTGGAAAGAATACAGGAACAGGAGCATAAAGCCACGCTTTGGGGAGACAACCCCCCTTTGTCCCACTCTGACGGGTGACCCCACAGTTGGACTTTGAGATAGTATTACTTAGTCTTAACACAATGTTTTAGACAAGAAAAGCGGTGCAATATTCAGTCCTTTTCCTGAAATCTAAATGACCTAAGTGGGTCTGAGTTCTGAACCGAAGTCAGTTTGGCTTCCAGAACCTTCACCACTCTGTTGTAACCATTATTTCCTGGAGAAGGCATCAAACTTCCAAGAAAATGGGACAGGGTATCAAGAGCACAGCATGCAAAACAACTCTGCAGAAGATGCTGATGAGAAGCAGGAAGCGCTGAAACTTGTGCTCAGCTACATCACTTCTGAATGAGGGGGAGCTGTAGAGTTAGTTAGTTAGCAGGAGCTGGACTTGCGAGTGTGGCGGCCACGGAGGCATGCAGCTACCTACAGGACATCTCTACCCAGGAGGACCTGTCAAAGGCCTTTCAAAATCAGGGGCGGGAATTCCTGGTTTTCTTGCAAATGGATCGTGGTGATGGTTGCATCCCTTGACGTCTTTTGAAATTGTAAATATATATATAATTTGCTTTCACCGTTTCTTTAATTTCTTTCTTGTTTTCAACAGTTTTCTTGACATGTAATTTATGTACCATACAGTTCAACAATTTAAATATATTTAAAGAGCTCTGTAATCCACATGTGACGTTTAAAGATTGAGCACATAACCAGAAAGAAAAAGTAAATGAAAAAGGTAAAATGGCATTTTTAAAGAGAAGAAATGCGGTTTTGATTAGATATTACTTGGAATGTTCTCAGTTTTTCCATAGGGCTATTATGTGACCATAAAATATTCACAGAAGCACAGAAGCGATACTATGAGTTAATTCCTAATTAACTATAAATGAACTATGATTGTTCGTGTCAGCAGTAAGGTCAGGTGTATTTAGTACATCTATTTCATTAATAATCATTTGTAATTTTTAGCTCTTGAGAGCAGCAATGTAGGGCCTACTTGTTAAGAGCGTAGACGGACGGCCTGAGCTAGAAACCAAACTTTGCTCCATCTTAAGTGACCTCTAACAGCTACGTGATCTTTCGATGCCTCAATATTCTTTTTCTTTTTCATAAATGATTTTACCAGGGACTCTTACAGCTCTTATAATAATCCCTACATCAATTGTATCAAGCACATTTGTACATATGATGCCAGCATCATTTTCAAAACACTTTCTTTCTATTTGAGCCCTTGGTATCAGCTCCTCTTGAAAACTGCGTACTTTAAAATGGTTACAGTGAGGAGCCCTGCTGACATAGTGGGTTACGCATTGGGCTACTAGCTGCAAGGTCAACAGTTTGAAACCACCGGGTGTTCTGTGGATAGAGATGAGACTTTCTACTTCTGTAGAGTTACAGTCTCGGAAACACAGAGGGGCAGTTCTACTCGGTCCTACTGTGAATCAACTTGCTGACTGGATTTTGAGGGGTTTTATGCCTTCTAAATGTCTCATCTAGGCTTTACAGTTACTTTTGTCAATTTGATCACATCGACAATTCTTTTTAAAGTGCAATGCTCAAGGTAAACTTTTTTTTAAACTGAGCTAAATTGCTGTTTGATTTTGAGGCAGATTAGGAAAGAGACTGGATTCTCTCACCCTCCTTTTTCAAGTTCAGATGACTTGGAGGAACTTCCCCAAGCCAGCACGTGTGGGTTCAACATACCCCATACCAGTTAACATTTTAACGTGTGCCATTTTATGATAGCCTGCATTATTTTACTGGAAATGACTCGATTTTACTGGATGGAGTCCCCTGTAAGAATAATGTGTTTTTCTGCCCCTGCCCACTGCAAGAATAAAGTACCTCTTTTTACCCTCTCCTGCTCCTGATGACCACTAATAGCCATTGATCTCTATGTATATCCTATTCTTGGCATGTCATATAAGATAAATCATATGATATCTGTCCTTTAATGATTAACTTAGTTTACACAGCACAATGTTCATTCTTATTGTCGCATGTGCCCAGACTTCATTTCACTTAATGGGTAAGTAAAATTCCATTGTATGTGTAACACACTTTATTCATTACCCATTCATCTGCTGATGTGTACTTGCTTCCAACCTTTTACTATTGTGAATAAGGCTGCATAATTTAACTTTTCTTCCTTATGCTTGTCTGTTTTTTTCCTACATTGACTATATATTCCTTTTATAGTCAGAAGAAACAATAAATGTACTTTGAAACAAAAACCAGTGCATACTATTGTTACTGGGAAGAGGCTCAGAGTTTCAAGCCTCTCACACCTCGGTTCTTATACCACTTGAAAGAAAAATTTCAGGCAAGGGACAAAATTCAGATAAGAGTCAGAGAAAAGATTTGAACAAACAGACTGATTATATGGAAGGGGATACTGTGGTAAAGAAGTCTAACTCAGCTAATCTAGAAGGCCTGGCAAGACATCCAGTTGAACCTTGTGTGCTAATGGTAGACCTCCCACTATGGGCTGGTTTCTGGTGGGTCGTCTGCTATTGGCTGGTCCTCTGTAGTATGTTCTCTTTCCAGGTTGTGCATTCCAGCACCCCAGCACCCCTGCTGTGCTCTTGTCTCAGACCCAGAGCTCAAGTCTGTTCAGTCACTGTCCGGGTAGTATAAACATCTTGTCTTTCTTCCCCTGACCAGCCCATTTCAGTGTTTCCAGGATCTTGGAGTCTCTTCCATTGGAAATGTGCTTTATCTGGTCTTCCCCTTCCTTTGTGCTGGAGGGGTTGTGTAGAAACATGTCTTCACCTGTCTTTAGTGTTTAAGATTCCTCCCATCATCCTCTTCTCCCCTTGCCAACCTGTGACTAGCTAACACTATTACATTTATGTATATACTTTTATTATCCCCTTTCTGAGCAGTTGGCGGTTGAACTCACCCAGGCTACTCCACAGCAATGAGTTAGGTTGTTTGTATTTTTCTGCTTGCCCTTTTTGTGGGTGTATGTGTGTGTTCTATCCCCACACCTGCAGGAGAAAAAAAAAAACCAGAATAAAACAATAAAACCCTAACAGGTAATCCTAAAGAGTGAAGGAGCAGTGCTGGTAATGGTGTTATTTTGCAGGAAAAGAAAGAGGAACTTGTAAATGTTTGATTGTGAATGCTTGGGTTCCCCCCTCCCCATTTTATTGGGAGCTCTTCCAGATGTTATAACAATCCATAGCTCATTTATGATCAAGCATAATTGTACAATTGCTGCCACCATTATTTTCAAAACATTTACTTTCTTTTTGAATTCTTTGATATTAGCTCCCCTTTATCCCCTCACCCCCACCCCCAGGAACCCTTATTATTATATATTATTATTATTATTTGCCATATCTTACACCATCCAATGTATCTATTCACCTACCATTCTGTTATTCTTCCCCTCAAGTGGGGCTATACAATTGCTATCAATTCCTCCTCTCTTTCCGTACCCTCCCCCCTTCTTCCCATACCCTTAGGGAATCATTACTCCCATGCTATTTCTGAAAGGTTTAGCTATCTTGGATTTCATGCATTGAATGATCTTAATTATACAAATTAATATATGCAGGTCTAACAAGATTAATGAGGTAAAATTAAGACCATAATAGTAAGGGGAGAATATTTTAAAGAACTAGAATATAGTTATGTTTCATCAGTGCTGTACTACACCCTGGAAATATAATCTCTTCTGTGTGGCCCTTCTGTGAGGCACTGTCCAATTATCTTTCAGGTGGGTTTTGGGTCTCCACTTTTCCTATGCTCAGTCACATCAATTTGATTGCTTGCTTTTGCATGTCTGATACCCATTGCCGTTGACACCTCATGATCACACAGGCTGGTGTGCTTCTTCCATGTGGGCTTTGTTGTTTTCCTGATAAATGGCCACTTGTTTAACTACAAGCCTTTAAGACCTCAGATGCTCTATTTTTTAATAGCTGGGCACCATCAGCTTTTTTCACCACATTTGCTTATACACACATTCTGTCTTCAGCGATCCTGTTGGGAAGGTGAGTATCATACATTGCCACATTATTAGAACAAACCATTCTTATACAGGTAAGATTTAAGTAGAGGTTCAAAGTCCATATACTTCCTTGTTATAATGAATCCTTGTTTTTAAGTCAAGCAAATGGATAATATTTCGTTATCTGCTTGCAGGACAAGAATCACATATTGATTAGTCTAATGGCATGCTTTAACAGAGCCACTGAAATAATTAAAAAACTCAAAGCAAGCAAGCAGCAGCTCTTGGAGGACTATAACGAAAGGCGTGACTCCAACTGCTTGGTGGAAAGAAGCAACCAAGTCAGCCTACTGAGACCTCAGAAACGGCATTTCATGAGTGCGTACAACTTGTCCAGTTCTATCAAGGCTAAGGAGCCAGTTCCTGACAGCGGCAGGAGCTCCTGGGTCCAACTGAGTCACCTTGTTCACCAGGAGAAAAAACACTTTCCACAAAAAAGTAAGATGCTGTGGTAAGCATACTATCCAATCCATACAAAAGAAACCAAACTCACTGCTACCGAGTCCATGCGGATTCATAGCGATCCTCTGGGGCAGGGTAGAACTGCCCTTGTGAGTTTCTGAGACTGTAACCGTTTACAGGAGTTGGAAGCCCAGTCTTTCTCCCTTGGTGAGCAGCTGGTGGTTTCAAACTAGGGACCTTGCAGTTAGCAGCCCAATGAGTAACCACTACGCCACCAGAACTCCTCACCCAAACGATAGAAGGAACTTCCTAGTAAATTTAGAAAGCATTTCTGGACTAGAATTATCCCAGCGTTATTGCCATAGTCCTGGGTGAGTTTAAAGGTAAGCTATCTGAAGTTCGAAGTGCTGATGAGCTAGTTTAATCGATGTTAGATCTACTGTAGACCAGAGGATTCTCATCTGGGAATGCCGGTGGTCTAAGAACCACATTCTGAGGAATGTATAGGCAATCACAAGAGACTACAACAACAATAGAAACCTTTTTCCCCTCAATTTTTATTGCTCTGCAAAACTTCATGTGTAAAACTGAAGTACAGCAGAAAAGATTTTTTTGGTTGTTGTTCTTTTTAAAATATCAATTTATTCATACAGCTCTTATCACAAATCATCCATACGTCCATTGTGTCAAGCACATTTGTACATATGTTGCCATCATCCTTTTCAAAACATTTTCTTTCTACTTGACCCCTTGGTATCAGCTCATTCTCTCCATCCCCCCTTCCCCCATCATAAACCCTTGATAATTTATAATATTCTTTCATGTACTGTCTGATGTCTCCTTTCACCCACTTTTCTGTAGTCCGTCCCCCTTGGAGGGAGTTATATCTGTATTTGTTCTGATCTAGCTGGATTTGTAAGGTAACATTGGGGTCATGATAGTGTTGGGGGAGGAAGCATTAAAGAACAAGAGGAAAGTTGTATGTTTCATCGGTGCTATACTGCACCCTGACTGGCTCGTCTCTTCCTTGTGACCCTTCTGTGCGGGGATGTTCAATTTTCTACAGATGGGCTTTGGGTCTCCACTCTCTGCCCTCCCCCTCATTCACATCGTTATGTTTTTTTTTCTGGGTCTTTGATGCCTGATCCCTGATCCCATTAACACCTCGTGATCACATAGGCTGGTGTGCTTCTTCCATGTGGGCTTTGTTTCTTCTCAGCTAGATGGCCGCTTGTTTATCTGAACACAATTTTATGAGAACACAGTGATATCTCATTGTGGGATCAATTTCATTTCTCTGATGCATAATATATATATTTTTTTCATGTGTCAATTGACTTTTGGTGGAGAATGTCATTTTATTAAATACAGCTCACGAATTATTTAGACCAGAAACAAAGAATTCCCATCTTGGCAGTGTCCCTTCTTTGATGACCGGTCCCTGACTTGACACTGTCCTGGCATTCGTAGAAAGTGGTATATAGAAAGTGATAGAACGTGGCATGGAAAACAGGGACACACTCTGTGGTGGTGAAGGGTTGTTTTTTTTTAACAGTTTTCTTGACACTTGGTCCACATGTCATACAATTCAATAATTTAATCACACAAAGAAGAGCTATTCATTCATCAGCAATCATAACCACAATCGATTCTGGAACATTTTCTTCTTCCTTGTACTCATTCTTATTTCTGTCCCACTGTGGAGTTTGTGTGTGTGTGTGTGTGTGTGTATGCACTTAAAACATACTCACCCCCCCCCAAAAAATAAAAAAATAAATAAAACAAAAAAACAAAACAAAAAAAACATACTCACCCAAACATTTGCCAGCACATGGTGTGGCTCGACCACGCTTCATTTTTCTTTACAGCGACGTACTATTCCACTGTGTCCCAGAAACAGCTTAGTTTTGCCTTAGGCATTGAGTTCTTTTGGGAAATAAGTGATGTGAATCCTGCTTGGAGCAGCAGGAGCTCCGGCGTGTAAGAAGGGCCTGTATTTAGGATGGATGTCTTCGAAGAAGTCAGGCCCGAGTGCTTCTTAGAGGCAAGGATGGCAAGACTTTGTCTTACATACTTTCTTTCGAACCTCATTTTTGTGGCGTGGCTTCCTAAGTTTTGTTTAACTTAGGGGCATTCCGGTGGAGACAACAACCCCATTTATCTCTAATTGTGCTACCTTTCAGTTTCATACCCATTAGCTTAAACTCACTACCCCTAAACTTCTCATCTATATTTTAGAGTTTGTATAGGGTTGCTATGTGTCAGCATGAACTCAATGACAGGGAGTTTTTGGAGCGTATTGTCAGTTTGATCTCATGTAGACATTTTTTCTTAAAATTTTATTTTGTTATTGAGGATCCATATAGCAAAACATATGCCAATTCAACAGTTTCTTCATGCACTATTTATTGAAACTATTCTCACCCTTTTTTCTGAGTTGCTTTTCCCTTAAGCCAACGCTTCTTAAATTTCCTAGCTGATGTATTGAGTTAGTTTTGTCAGTTTGATCCCAGATAGATAGAGCTTAGGAGGCCTGGTGGCTTACCAGTTGGGCTTGTGGTCAGCAGTGTGAACCCACCAGCTGCTTTGAGCGAGAAAGATGAGGCTTTCTACTCTTGTTAAGATTTAGTCTCCAAAACCCACAGGGGGAAGTTCAATTGCCCTAAAGGGTTACTATGAGTCAGAATCAACTCATTGACAGTGAGTTTGAGTTTTTGGTGGGTAGTTTTAAAAGAGGATAATGCTCAAGGCACACTTTTTAACTAGTCAAGATTAACTATTAGAGTAGAGGAGCCCTGCTGGCATAGTGGTTCCCCATTAGGCTGTGATCTGCAAGGTATAGAGCTCAAAACCACCAGCTGTTCCTCAGGAGGAAGACAGGACAGTTGCAGTCTCGGAAACTTACAGGGGCAGTTCTACCCTGTCCTAAAGGGTCCCTATGCATCAGCATTGACTATAAGGCAGTGAGTTTTTATTATTTGATATTAAGAAGACATCAGGGGATCTTTTTGGTTTAAGGTTCAAAAATGATCATGGGGATAAACAGTTTCAGGGACCTGAAAATCTAGATTCCACAATTACTGTAAATTTGCTCTGCATTTCTGCCCTTTTGATTAGGATTCATCTAGGGAAGATTGGATCAAAATGTTCCCTAATGGTAGCCAAGGATCACCCAGTTCTGGTCACATGGCAAAGACGGCAAACAGCTGTTCGGTGTCTGGAGTGGGTGGTACCTTGGCCTTTGCTTTGCACGCTGAAAGAATTCATGCTGAAGCACGTTTTGTGATCCAAGTGAGTTCTTATGAAGGAAAGGAAAAGTTTCAGGTTTTACAGTCTCAAAAGGGTGGATGCTATTTCTGGAAAGCGTGTCAAGCTGTGCAGAAGCTGCACTGGGGTTCACAACTGGGCACGAAAATCCACGTAGAAAAGAACACCCACACGTGACGAACTGGGGGGTCCTTGGGACCAAGGTGTCCAGAAAGCAAGTTAGCAAGAGAGCACAAGAACAAAAGGGCAAAATGGCAAGGAGCATGTCTGGGCTGGATCCCTGCCTTTCTTCTATCCTGCCCCCTGGCTGGGGAAGGCATGGTTGAAGGTATTGGCAGATTCCAGAAGCTGAGTTCCCCAGCACCTGTGTGATCTACCTAAAGTGGGTGTGCCCAAGGTATTGGTTTTACCTGGGCCTAGGGGGGTTATGTCTGAGCATGCTCAGTTCTGGGTTTCTCCCATAGGTGTCTAACGGGGTACCTGAGTTCATTGTTTTCTTTTGTCTTTTGAAGTCCATTGACCCATCCGTGATGTTTTCTTTTTAATCATTTTATTGGGGGTTCATACACTCTTTTTAAAAATCATTTTATTGGGGGCTCATACAACTCTTATCACAATCCATACATACATCCATTGTGTCAAGCACATTTGTACATATGTTGCCATCATCCTTTTCAAAACATTTTCTTTCTACTTGAACCCATGGTATCAGCTCATTCCCCCCTCCCCCACCTTTCCTCCCTCATGAACCTTTGATAACTTATGTTCTTATTTTGTCATGTCTCACACTGTCTGATGTCTCCTTTCACCCACTCTTCTATTGGCCATCCCCCTGGGAGAGGATTATATGTAGATCACTATGACCATTCCCCCTTTCTCTCCCCCGCCCCACCTTCCCCTTCCCCTCCTGGTATTGCCACTCTCATTTTTGGTCCTGAGGGGTTTATCTGTCCTGGATTCTATGTGTTTCCACTCTTATCTGTACCTGTGTACATGCTCTGATCTAGCTGGATTTGTAAGGTAGAATTGGGATCATGATAGTGGGGGGGGGGGGCATTAAAGAACTAGATGAAAGTTGTATGTTTCATCATTGCTATACTGCACCCTGACTGGCTCATATCTTCCTTGTGACCCTTCTGTAAGGGGGTGTCCAATTGACTACAGATGGCTTTGGGTCTCCACTCCACCCTCCCCCTCATTCACATTGATATGATTTTTTGTTCTGGGTCTTTGATGCCTGATAACTGATCCCATCGACATCTCATGATTGCACAGGCTGGTGTACTTCTTCCATGTGGACTTTGTTGCTTCTGAGCTAGATGGCCGCTTGTTTGTCTTCAAGCCTTTAAGACCCCATACGCTATATCTTTTGATAGCCAGGCACCATCTTCTTTCTTCACATTTGCTGTGCGTGGGGTGCCTGATTTCTTTCCAACCTCCTCTATGGGAGCCTTTGCAGGCATGGGAGGGACAGCCCCCTGCCCCTAAGCTAGCCACCTCACATAGCCACACATTTCACTTCCCTCTCCTACTCTGGGTTCATCTTTTCCCTTGGTTGTTCCAATTACTCAGCTATTGAATGACTGCTTGCAGATTAAAAAAAAATTAAGCACAATGCTTAAGGAGGATGATCTTCATTTTTTTAGACTAAACTTTTTTCTTTGGTTTTTATATAGGACTTAAGGGTTAGTTTTGTTTCAAGATTTGAAGATTATCCCAGAGCAATAGAGGGAAAAACAATGCTTCCTCTAGCCTCAACAAGTCCAGAAAGTCTGGATTCTTTGGAAATTAAAAGTTCTAGTACACAGTTTCCCCTTTCTGTCAGGATCCATTTATTGTGTCCCTGAACTTTGACGTGTTCAATAATGGTGGCCAGGCAGCTCTTGACCTCTTTTAAGTAAATAGGCTTAAACCAAAAACTGCACTTTAGGTGATAATACACAGAATATAGACCTCATTTAAGTGCTGTGGTAGCCAGTGTCTAAATAACGTGCACTGTCCTCCTTAGTCTAAATTTTTGTCGAGATTGGTAGCTGCGGGGCGGTGGGTTACCGATACCTGGTGCCGGCATGAGGACCATTGGGTGCACAGGGCTCCTCAGATTTGGTCTGGAGCCTCAGGGTCAAGGGACACGGAAGAACTTTTCAGAGGTCCGTGAAGTCAAGCCTACATTTATATTAATACAGAGTATCTGCTCGTGCTTTTCACTCTTATGTGCTCAGTAAAATGGACTTTTCTAGAAAGTACACGATGTGTGAAGACATCATTGCTCTTGCTATGAATGGAATGTGTTAATGGAATATTCTTGGGTTTATTTTTTCCCACTCTAATTTCTAATATGGTAAACACTGGGGGATAGAACACATGAATCAAACCTTGTTAGGGTCTTCAGAGGTTTTAAGTGTATAATGGATCCTGAGACTCCCCTTCCCTCCACCAAAAATTTTTTTCTTTCTTTCTTTCTTTCTTTCTTTCTTTCTTTCTTTCTTTCTTTCTTTTTTAGCATTCCTGGTCTAAACAAATGGTAGGTAATTGTTGATCCAGTGCTGTGTGTGGTCAGTAGCTCCTCAAATTTTCTTTCATGGTTTTCTCATTTATTATTATTTGAAACTTAGGGTTTGGGTTTCAACATTACGTCTAATAAAGGCTGAATTTAAAGTATTTGGAGAAAAACACACTTAAAATTTTTTTTACTGACTACTTCATTCTGGATAATGTTAGATTTTAAGAGGTCACTAATACTAATACCCTTCTGTTGCTAAAGAGGTCTGGAAGTCAGTGGGTAAGTGCTTGTAAGGAGAGGAATTTCCTGTTGCCAAGGAAAACGATGTGGCAGTTCGCTTCCATAGAGACTGCAGCCTCGGAAACCACGAGGCACTTACTTCTGCCCTTCCCCGTGGGGCTGCTAAGGCCTGTCATTGGCTCCATGATCTTCATTGGGTTTATTTTTGGTTTGGTTGGTTCCTAATCTGAGTTTCAATCACCTGAGAGAGAGAGATGGAGGTGAAAATGCAGCTTTATGAGTATGTTGGAGGGATTTTATTCTATTTTCTTTTTTGTGTGGAGTCATTTCCATCACATGGTGACCCCCGGAGGGTCAGAGGAGAATTGTTTCAGTGGCTGATTTTGGGAAAGTAGATTCCCAGACCTTTCTTCGGAGGCATCTCTGCCTAGTCTTGAACCTCTCACCTCTTAGTGGCCCAGCATGCTAACCATTTGTACCACCCTGGGACAGAGAGCTTACCCCACCCAAAAGCAAAGCCTGCCAGTGCAGACTGAGAGCAGATGACGGGGTTCCCTATGGTGGGTCAGTGGATGCAAAGGGGGGCACCCACATTTATGAAAAAAAGAGATAAATGAAACTCGCTATCATTGAGTCAGAAGGTGACCCTCTGTGGGTATCCCAGACTGTAACTCTTTGTGAGAGTAGAAAGCTTCATCTTTCTCCCTTTGAGCAATTGGTGGTTTTGAAATGCTGACCTCAAGGTTATGCCCACCACATAAACCACTATAGGACCAGGGCTCCTTGAAATGAGGAGATAGGGTGGAATAGTATTTCTAAAATGTAAGGAATATATTTTTCCAGTATGACAAACAAAACTTGCTTACTACAAAATGTTCTCTAGTGCATTTGGGAGAGATTGAAAAAGTTGGAAAATGAGATCTGGGACTCTAGGATCCCAGTTAAAGAAGGGATTCAGGAGTTATCACACACTCAAACTTACTGCCAGTAAGTCAAGTTCTCTCTGAAACTTTCAACTTTGAGATAATGGAGACCAAAGAGGAGCCGTCTTACTTAAACACACATTATTATTAAAGTATTATTAAAGTATGGCTTGGACTCAGGATCTGTTTCTGTTCAGGTTCTTATTATCTCGTGTTTCTGAAAACAAGGCTTACAGGGACGCTGTAGGGCAGAGTAGAACTACCCCACAGGATTTCCAAGGCTGGAACCTTCACAGAAGCAGAGTCCGCCACATCTGTTTCTAGGGTGGAGGCTGGCAGGTTCAAATTGCTGACCTTTCATTTAGCAGCCACGAACTTCACCATTGGCTTCTATATCTGCAAAACAGTACTAACTTCCTTGCCCGCCAGAGTTATTTTGAAAGCTGAAAAATGTGCTGTGCCGTATAGCAAATGCTTCTGTTTTTTATTTTTCAGACAATGCAATATTTGGATAAGGCACATCTCCCAAGATACACAGAAATGTGTTCTCCTCGGTCCATCCTCAATGTCTGTCTAAGTAGTTTGCAAATTATCAGGTATCGGAAGATGCTAAGGAAAATTATTGAAAAGAGCACACACCAAAAAAGCCTCCTTAAATCAAGCTATATAAAACCTACCATTTCTTTATTCATTTCGCTCCATTATTTAGACTTAAGTGTTTGGAAGGATTTAAGTTATTAAAGATCCTTTTTGAAAGAAATGAATAAAATGTTCACTGTAAACCGTCTAATACTTAAATATCAGTTTGTTTTTCTATGAGTCAGTGGACTGTTGACCAACATGATTGTTCGGGCTGAATGCTGTAGTTGCTCAGTTAATGCTTGCTTCTAAATGCTTACTTACATGACCTTACTCTGTGAGAACCGTGATTTTGATGATGTGAGTAAGAGTGACATAAGATGTTCATACTCATTCACTAACGTGGAGTCGATTTCAACTCATAGCAACCCTATAGGACAGAGTAGAACTTCCCTTACGGGTTTCTGAGGCAATAACACTGTATGAGGGTAAAGCCTCATCTTTCTCCCATGGAGTGGCCGATGGTTTGAAACTGCTTACTTTACAGTTGGCAACCCAACATGTAACCTACTACGCCACCAGGCCTCCTGAAGGTATGTATAGCAGAGCTATTTGTGATTTTTCCATGCTCATCCACATTTAGATAGCTTGAACTAAGCCTGTTCCATATGACAAGCTAAGTGCTGCCTAAAAGGGGGGGGGGCAGGGATAAAAGAAAGAAAAAGACATGTGTAGTGGGGGAACGGGGCACTAACCCACCCAAGGTGAGGGTATTGTTTATAGTTCCACAGGGAAAGAGGGACCAGACTTCAACCCAGTGCTCCAAGAGGTGAATGCAACATGCCAGCATGAATCAGGGAACCAACAGAGAGGTCTGAGGTGTGGTCGCAATCCCCACTATGTGAACAGCCCCTCCCTGCCCTCAGAAGAATTCACTTCAGAGGACAGCACTGAAGCTACAGCTCAGGGAAAGGGACATGTCTGATCAGAGCACACAGGAGCAAATGAAGGGGGGGAGAGAGAGAGTGGAGCACATTCTGGTCAACCAAGTCCTGAGGATGATATTCCTGCTCAGAGCAGCCAAAGCACAGAGAGGACCATAGGGCCAGCCCCACTACAAGACATGACATCCCTCACTGACCCATAGCACTACAGGGACAACACTGGAGACATAGTGCGGGAATTGCGCCTGATCTGACCCCACCACACTGAGGCAAAACACTAAGGGTTTGCAACAGAACGACAAGGGCAACAGAGCATCGAAGTCCCTAGGGGATACCAAAAATAGACTGTGGGGCCAGGGCGTGGCACACCCCATCAGACTCAACTGGAAAACATTCCTAAAGGTCAACAGACCTTGAACTATTTACAGGCTATTCTTTTTGTGTGTCATTGTTTTGTTGTTGTTGTTTTATTTTCTTTTGTTGCTTTGTTTTGCTGTCTTGGTTTTTCTGCATATTATTATCTCTGCAGATCTATCTAGATAAGACGGGTGGGATAAACAATCTGGAGGAGAAAACAATGGGACCGATGGTTTTGGGGGGGGACATGGGAGTTGGGAAGGCGGGGTAAAGGAAGTGGGTGTTAACAACCTCAGGGGCAAGGGACAACAAGTGATCCAAAATTGATGGTGAGAAGGGTGTAGGAGGCCTGGTAGGGCTTGATCAAGGGCAATGTAACCGAGAGGAATTACTGAAACCCAAATGAAGGCTGAACATGATAGTGAGACAA